TTTCAACTTAAGAACATTCGTGCAGCATTTGCTATCAAAATGTAGTGTTTGAATGGCTGATAAAAGTTGGCCATGTTTGCCCTATTTTGCAGGCGCTTCCATAGCCTGCTACGTTGGATCCGGTAATTAGCTTTCTCCAGGTCAACAAAGCACATGTAAGCTGTGTGTGACCACATCACGAATTCTCAACGATCTGGTGTGAGGGGAAGATCTGGTCAACGGTGATTTGGCCTGATCTAACACCAAATTGTTCATCTTCGATCATGGAGTCAGCTAAATCTGTATACCTTCTTCTTAAAACCTTTACGCACACTTTTTCCGGAAGACTCAATAAGGTAATGACTCAATAATTAGAGCACTCACTATGGTCTCTCTTCCTGAATGGGGTTACTACAACCGCCATTCTCTTTTCAACTTGTATCTTCCCAGTAACCATTGCATTTTGATAGACTCGTGTCGGTCACAATGCGCCTTGTTCACATAAAGCTTTAAACATTTCTTTTTAGATTTCGCCAAATTCCAGTTGAGCTGTTTAAGGCTTCTGTGACCCATCGACTGAAACAATGAATATCCGTTGCTTGTTGCTCATCGGACGAGTGCTCCTGTGGGCGCCCTCAGTTAATGAGTTCATCAAAGTACTCTCTCCATCCCTGAAGTGTGGCATTCTTGGTGAAATGGCGTCTGCACTTGCACCTTTGGAATCTCAGACTGTTCTTCTTTCAACATTTTGTCATATGTTGTTGTTACCTAGTTTTACCTCTGCAAATTCGACTTCAGCTCTGCGTTATATTCTGAAGAACACCGTTATGTTTCTTTAATCTATCATTCCTTCTTTTCCCATGTATGATCTATGTTTATGCCCATGAACAGACTGTCCACATACTTTGTAGGGCACCCTTTCACGTAATAACATAAGCGCATACTGGCTTCAATAAGCTTCTCTTTTTCTATGGAGCTATTTCCGATGCACACCCTATATGAACATATTTCAAACTTGGTCCTTTCAGCTGGCCCTAGGTTTCGTCTGAAAATTTGCACTACTACAGATTTCAGGTGGGTTCATGGCTCTTACAAAAAGCTAAATATTCTGCTCGGTAGAGAGTTAGAAGTCTTACTGTCGTTCTGCAAAGCACTTGTTTGAATTTGATGAACATTTTTTGAGGACATCACCACGTGAACATTTGGCGATTTGATTCACAATTTTCTATAATCAATTCTTGAAGCGATTCTAGTTTTCCCTTCATCTTGCATGATGGAACCATCATAACTGAATATTGGAGGTTTTGTGCAGAAAATGGCCTTCTCGCATCGTCAATTTTGTTTCTTTGTCAGTGTTCTCTCTGATAAAGCAACCTGTTAATACTTCGCTTGTTCTTAATGAGAGGAAATTAGTCAACTTGCCTTCGGACAATTCGGGGTTGGGGGGTGGTGGTGGAGTAATTTAACTTTGACATTTTATAGGTATTTTTCTACTGTTTCATTCTCATCATTTATTTCTGCTTGTAGAGAAAGCTTCAGTCATGTAAAATTCAATATTATTAGTTCGTATGCTGTGTGATTTAAGACTCGGTATGTCTAGGCTTTAAAATCACAAAAATTAATGTCATCAAAAAGTCAATGTCAGTTTGTCTTCCGTGCACGTGCAGAACTCTTCGTTCCCTGTTCAACTGCAGTTTTTTGTCTAATTCAAATTGTTTCCGCACATCACTGCTCTACAACTAAGCCGCCTTCAAACAACTTCTCCAGCACCCCTTGGCGTTTGATTAGTTCATTGCAAGAAACTTTGAAAGAGCTGCAATTGATTTCCCCTGTTGCCGTTGCAACGATATCTTTATTTGTTAATATTCATTCTTTCTATTATATTCGCTTCATTGAACCACGCCCACTCACTGTTGTAATTTATTTAAATTAAGTGAGCCACCCACCATTTTAAACCGTATTCGAGTGAGCAGAGTTGCGCAGTCGATAGAGCTTCTGACTAAGAATCGAAAGGTCCCGCGATTGCACCCAGGTTGGGTCATTCGTTCTCACTCGTCTTTTCCTCATTCCAAACCTAATAAATGAGTAACACTCTGTGAAAAAGAAACACGAGGCACGAGAGCATTATTGTTGCTACATCGCTATCGATTCTACCTTAAAAATAAATCACTCCTGTCTGATGGCATTTAAATGGAGATTAGTTCCCCTCCCCCCTCCACACCATTAACTTCGTGGAAAAAAGGCGACGGAAATGGCACCATCAAAAAAGGGTACGGAAGACGGAAATTCCAGAGGTTGCAGACTTTCGTTTCCTTCCTTTTTGAGGGACCAGCAATCACATAGGGGACATTTTTGGCTATCTCAATTGACGCTCGGACGCAGGAAGTTGTCAGTTTCTAAACTATTACCTCGAATCATGATGTGACCTCAGTCAAATTATAAGGCCAATCAACCAGCTGATTCGAACGTTTCGCTGATGAACCCGATGTGTGAGCATGAAAAGGCCATCGGTAAAGAGATTACGTTTTTGCAAACGCGATTTCGAGAACGGTGGCATTGGAGTGCAATTCGAAGGCAACAGAGCATTTCATGGCTTCAACTCATTTTCTTGCTTTTGCCGAAACAATATCCTCGGCAGTCGTAATTCGTTCCTCTCCAAAAGAGGCTCAGGAAGATCGAACTCCTCTTCGCCATTGTCAAACTCCTTTGATTGCTGCTTGCCAATCGACACAATCGAATTTCGTCCATTCGGTCGTTTTTGGGATATGCTGACCATCGCAATTTGCGAAACACGTCGTTATGATTTTGGCTACCGAAAGCTGTCGTCATATCCCCCATTAAGAGCTCCAAATGAGGTTATCAACGTAGTCGTCATCGTCTTTGGGAAATCGATATCTTGACTCACCTTTGTCGCCCGCGTGCGATATCGAGCAGACACAAGACTCGGGAGGTCGTGTGGCGGCGAGCGTTCGATGGGTAGATGCACGGGGAAGTTCATTTCAAGCAACTTTCAATTCGACGTCAGTTTGTGACGACGATCGCTTCTCACATAAATCGTTAGAATGCAGGTTCAATACGGTGTGAACGAACGAACATAATTAGCATGCAAAAACGCATTATTGTGTAAGCCGAGGTCTTGCGTCCTCGCCGTCACCTCCCTCAGAAGCTGTTGCGTCATTGCTTAGGGGCTTTCTGAAACTAGTCACAGCTGTTTTAATCTCGCATCAGATGCGATTATTCCGGGATGCACGATACCCAAACAAAATCGTAGGAGGACGTTCGTGCCTTCAGGTTCCGACTCTTTCCACTCCCACATAATTCTCACAT